CCTGGGTTCAGGCAATTCTCCTGCCTCAGCCTCCTGAGTAGCTGGGATTACAGGCACGCGCCACCATGCCCAGCTGATTTTTTGTATTTTAAGTAGAGACGGGGTTTCACAGTGTTGACCAGGATGGTCTCGATCTCTTGACCTCGTGATCCACCCGCCTTGGCCTCCCAAAGTGCTGGGATTACAGGCGTGAGCCACCGCGCCCGGCCTCCAATGTTTTAAAAAAGTGTATCTGGAGATACTGCCACAATTATGAATGCAAGCTGTGATATTTAGTAATATGGTCAATAAATTCTTTTGTAATTTCAAAGCATCATTACAAAGCTAATATAAAAAGCTGTTGAATTTTTTTTTAAAGCTGTTGAATTTCTAAATGCATTTCCAATTGATCTTAAATTATCAGTTGCCAATAGTTTTCAAAGTGACAAATATTAAAATTTCCAAAGTTACTTCGGAATAAGTAAGCAAATATTTCTCTTGGTTGTAGATCTTCTGCAAAAGTAATGCCGTATTAAAGAAGGCCAAAGTTATAAAACTAAATTTGTGAAACTGCCCTTTATTCTTTCCTTTTGTCTTTTTAGGATGGGTTGAATTAAGTACTTAATCTGGGTTTCACAAGGGCGATTTTATCTTTGAAATGGATTTTCCTCCCATCAGTTAGTCTTAATTTCTTTATAAAAATCAAAAATCTGGGCCGGCTGCGTGCGGTGGCTCACGCCTGTAATTCCCAGCACTTTGGGAGGCTGAGGCCGGAGGATCATGCAGTCAAGAGATCGAGACCATCCTGTCCACCATGGGTGAAACCTCGTCTCTAAAAAAACAAAAAACAAAAAACTATTATGTAATACAGGTTTTTAAAAAGTAAATTTCTCAAGCAGTTCATTTCCCCATGTTCGGCCCAAAAGTGAAAACTGAGTATCTATATACATTTGCTTCAAATTAAAAATTGATGACTGGAAAGCATACTTTTAAATGTAAAGTCCTTGTGGGAAAAGAGTTACGAATCACAAGAACACAACTGCGACTTGCTACCTCTGGGTTTCCGTTCGCAGAAGCGCCCAGCGCCCGGGCGAGGGCAGCCGCAGTCCCGCTAGGGAGCCCAGAGCGCTGCCCTGGCGGTGACGCGCCGCTTCGGCTTTGCCCGCCCTCCCCCAAGATGGCTGCGGTTGGCGCCGGGGATGCTGGGCGCGCGCCCCTCGGAACCAGGGAGGAGGTGGCCGGGGGGCGGGGCCGGCGGGAGCCCGGCGCTGATTGGCCAGCGTAGCCGCCCTGCGCCGCGGCCTGGGCTAGGATGTGAGAAGCGGCGGGCTCCCGTGTCCGGGCTCCGGGTGCCGGCGGCTGTGAGCGGCGGCGACGGCGGCGTAGGCGGCGGGCGAGGACAGCGGGCGCCGTCGGCGGCCGACCGTGTCGGTCGCGGGATGA